TTTCTTTGGACCAAATCCGCTTAAGATATTGAAATCGATTTACAAATATCCGCCCGCCTGTCCTCAACAACATTCGGTTTGAACCAAATTTTACACAACCTAATGGTTTGGCCGACCCATTCAATGTTTAAAGATAGGGCTTATCTGTCTACTTCACCTCGTGCCTCCCCCGCAAAGGGTTAACATTTGGAAAAGTTATAAATCTCGTAAGAAGCGAACGATATATCCAATGTCATCCAAAATGTACACATTGTAATATTTTACCAGTCCTAGATCATGTTTGAAGATTTGAATCAATCGGCCCATGCCATCTGGTACCACTTTCCAAAATTTTTAATTTTGTTTAACATATAAACCTAATGTCAATCGAATTATTTTCCGATTTAATACAACCTTTCACATGGTAATAATTTTGACAAAACTTGATAAAGTCCAAACACGGAATTCATAGGTACATTTCTTCTGGTACTTCTGGAACATTTTAACAATTGTAATCTAAAATTAGAATTTTTTGTATTCAAAACAGAAAGAACTAGAATTTTTAAATATGAAAACCCTCTAACTTCTGTAGAGTACAATCTTGTGGTATTCTACTGTAGAAATCATTTTTGATATCTATGTTAGATGGCCTTGTAATTGTCTATAGTCTGATCTTCTTTTATAAAAAAAAAATGTAACCTTCTCTTTTAAAAGACGTTTTAACCTTCAACGAAAGAAGAAGATTGTCTTATTTGAAATAAGACCTTTTGATCTTTAGTGATCTATAGAAGGATATCTTTATACCATCTGGCCTTAGATTGTATATAACCTTTTGATGTTCTTTTGTAGAACAGGTCTGTCAGATCATTTCTTTTAGAAGAAGGACTTATTGTCTTTAAAAAAAAATGTCTTATTGTTTTCTATAGAAAAATATATTCCGCTCTTCGCTAGAAGATAACCTTCTTGTCGTCTGAGTAAGAAGAGTTTTTATTCTTCTGTGAAATAAGACCTTCTTTTCTTTTGAGGAAGCAGATCTTTTGGTTTTTTGTTTGGTCATGGAAGAACACATGTTAGTCCCCTATAGCTGGACATTTTTAGCTTTTCTATAGTTGAAGACCTTTTGATGTTCTTTTATAGAACACTTTCAGATCTTTTCTATTTCAAGAAGACCATAAGGAGGTCTAATATGTATAGAATACCTAAGGGAGGTCTTTTATGTATAGAAACCCTAAAGAAGAAGACATAAATGAAGTATTCTATATATATAGAAAACCTAAAAGAGATCTTCTATGTATGAAAGACCTAAAGGAGGGTTTCTGTGTATGAACCAAATTGGGGAAAGTCTTCTATGTATAGAAACGTGATATTCTATACACAGAAGATCTATATGACATCTCTTATGTTCAGAAGACTTATATAAATATAGGTCATATATGTCTTCTGAACACAGGTCTTCTTTATATAGAAATGGACATCATGTGAAGGAAGAAAAATAAGTCATTAGGTGCCAAGAAGGATGACCCATAAATTTTATATTTTAGCCGCTCAAAAAACAGATGTGTGAGAGCCCGCATTGTTCTGCTGCACAACGAGTCGTTTTCTCTTGTTCCCTTTTTGACCATCGAATCGGTAAACTTCAGGCAAACAAATTGTTCTGTACCAACCAGAATTGACTTCTTATGATCTGAAAAACTGGTAATGAGGCCAGAAGAAACAAGCTTCGAAGAATTTTTTCCACAAACAGCTGTCGTTTGTTTTTAATTTTGGAGTCACTGTAAACAACACAACACCTGGTCGTACGTACTGAAGGCGCCAGGAAACAGTGCTGCGTAGACCAGAAATATATACAGTGGCGAGCAGAAACGAGTACATGTTTGCATTTTGATCACTTTTTACGTCATAAAAATAAAACTAAAAAAGCTATTTCAAAAATGTTGGTTGCATTTTATTGGGTATTTTGTACTTAACAATAAAAACCTAAATTTAAAAATCTATCTCTTAAAAATAACTAAGAAAAAATAAAGAAAACGAAATCAACCCCAATGTACTCACTTTTGCACGTCAGCATTTTTTTTAATAATGTACAAAAAAGGAATGTAAAATCACGTTTTTTTAAATCTTTTTTTTGGTTTTCGTTAGTTTTTTTAAGAAAATGTATACGTTTTACATCATTTAAGTCCCGTTTACTAAAAAATTGTACTAAGTTTTGAACAAAAATCAAATAAATAACTAATAATAATAATTCAAGAAGAAATATATATAATAACCACTGAAGGGGACATTCGGAAAAATCTGTTCTACCCTGGAAATTGCAAAGGGACTTAAATTGTGTCAATTATTGGTCATGTGGGTACAAAAACGGTGTTCCGTTGTTCCCAAACCTCAAATTAGAGGTCGTACACCGCTTATAAGATGTGTGGACCCACGTCTAATGATAAGGGAAATGTAATTTGATAAGTTTTAATACCAAAATATGCTTCGTAAGTACTCGTCAAACCTGTTAGTCATTGAACGGCGTGAAGAGCGCTTCCCGACATTGGATATAGCAGCATTAAAAAAGGACTAAAAACCTGTATTATAGGAAAAAACTGCAAAATAAGGGTAAAGACTTTTCAACTAGACCAAAAGTTGAACTGTGGTCGACTGGAAACGTGTGATTGGGTCCGAGGAATCCAAATTCAACCGTTTTCAATCCGACGATAAGCATTATTGATGATGAAAGCTAATTCAAAGGCCCAATGTGAAGCACGGTTGAGGAATTGCCATGGTATGCGTAGGCTTTTACTTGTGGGTCCTGGACCGATGTTAAAAAATTGACAATATAATAATGAAAGAAGTCCATTTAGATCATTGTAGAGTCATGTCAGTCAGTTTAGGTAGCTAAGTACGCCTATTCTGTAGAAGAAGTTATTATGTGCAGGACGGTGATCAACGATATACGTCAAAATTCGTGAGAGAATATCTTCGTGAGCAAAATTTTGAATTAACACAGTGGTCAGCACAAAGTTTCAATATTAATCCGATAATTTGGGGCCAATCGCAAAGAGGGAGGTGGGACAGTACCAGTCAGCCTCTAACAATTTAGACGAACTTTGGTAGTGGATCTGAGGTGATTGGAAGAATAATTCCAATGAAATTGTACTAAAATTGGTTAAAAATATGTCAAATTGCATAAATGACACATTAAAAATATAAAACAACGGTATAATTAATAAAAATATTCAAATTCTGCAAATTGGTTCAAAAGTGCAAAAGTGAGTACATTGAAGTTGATTTACTTTTCTCTGTTTTTTTTCTTAGAAATTAAAGAGTTAAATTCTTTAACTTTAGGTTGATTTGTTAGGTACGAAATACGTTATAAAATACAACCAAAATTTTGGAATTTGCTTTTATATTTTTATTTTTATGACGTAAAAAGTGTCCAATGTACAAGCATGTACTCATTTCTGCTCGTCACTGTATAGAAACAGCCGAATAAGTGGAATTATATACAAGACTTATATACAGGTGCTCCGTGTGGCGACTGGTAAAAAGATGTAAACGTCAAATACTTGTATAAAATTTCATAATTTAATTTTGCATAGATTTCCGGAATCTCTATGGACCTCATCGTATGAACTATGAAAAATCCAATCGGTGAATATCTTGCCTATTTTCCAGCTTGGTTTTTGTGTTGAAAATAGGCGATATTCCAACAAATTATTATCCTAGATCTGCCATTTTGCTAATTTTCGAGTGAAGCCAATGCCATTTATTTTCTTCATTTTTAAATCTTCAAATACATGTATGCGAAGTTACAAGTCTTTAACATATTGTATGCTAATTTGCCAGTCGTTTAAACCTAGTTGAAATTTTAAATAGAAAATGGGAGGGTCTCTTTACACCCACTGGACAAATATAGTTGAAAACTTGTTGGTCTACTCCTATAATAAAAGAGAAAAGAGAAAACCTAATTGTCGAATTGTTTTTTCCTTTCGATTTAGACACCTCCAAAACATGAATTTTGCACGCTTCAACATTTCTTTTTGGTGATGACCATTGACCAGGACTTTGCGTTAAATTAGCCATCAGTTCCACATTTTGACTGTCACTGTTTAAGCATAAACGTATGGTTTAACGTACTACCATGTGTTGTGTTCTTTGCAGTGACATGAAAAATCAATTTCCAAAAAAAAAAAAAAAAAATAATTAACTTGAAAACATTTTGACCAGCCAGGCCCAAACTAGTGTTCAAAGACATACGGAAAAGGCTTTTTGATATCACTATAACGTTTATATGCCGATAGAATTACAAGCATAGAAATATTATCCAAAACCAACTTTCTCAATTACGTTGACAGATGAGTGTGGTTACCCACTCGCGGTTTGTTATGTCTGGCGTTGGATTTTCTGCTTATTCATGTTGATATATTTATGATAAATTTCTGTTATTAAATTTCCTTAGTTTTCATTGAAATTCTCACTTGAAAATATACACCCAAATTCTATGTCTTTGTTGGCAAAAAATTGTAAACTTACATTGCCAATCGGCAGACATTTGTATAATTTTTATATTCCGTCTTGGTCAAGAGGCTATAAATATTTCTTATCTTTTGATTAAAAATATTATTATTTTTACGCAATAAAAATGCATTGTTTGTTGTTTTATAAAATTATTGATGGGAATTCACAAAAAATACCTTCAAGATATGACACCATGTTTTTTTTCATTGTAATTTTGATAAATGGAAATAAAATGATTTATTATTTTTCAAATAAGTTTTTCTTTAAGAATATAGTTTTTGTAAAGAGTTGACATAAATCCGAATGCCAACTCTTTCCAAAAACTTTACACTTTATACGAATTTCTTTTTTTGTTTTATTAATCTGCCTTGTCCATATTCATTACCAATAAATTTACCTACTCGGAAAACTATCCATTGTCCATTCCATTGCAATTTATATGTATCAAAAATATATTTTAAAATATTAACTCCTTTCGACATGTTTTAATTTTTTTGTTTTTTTTTCCTCCATTACAGACACATTCCAAAGGCCAAAGCCACAGCGATTGCAGATACGCCCGAACTAAAGAGAATAGCGGAAAATACCAAAATCCAATCGAATGTTAAATATCATGAAGATTTTGAAAAGGCTAAAGGCAAATTTACACAGGTCAGTCACCATTAAACATATCAACACAAATTATTCGCAGAAAAAATAAAAAAAAATGGAAAAAATTTACTCTGTTCTACAGTGTGGACGAATGCTATGTTGGTCTATAAACTGTTGTATTTTTCTCTTTTTGGTCATATCCATGTGTGTTTTACCATGCTTAAAATTTTCAAGATTTGTGGTGACCAAACTGAAATGTGAACACAGTGGGAGAAATTAAAAAAAAATAAGACTTATAGAATGGAAGACCTAAAGGAAGTCTTCTGTATAGAAGACCTATAGGAGGTCTTCTGTTCATAGAAAAGACCTATGCAAAAGTTATCACCCAGAGGAGGTCTTCTATGAAAAAGGACCTATAAACGGCTTCTATGTATGGAAGACCTATCAGATATAGGAGGTATTTTATGTATAGAAGAGTATAGGAGACCTGAAAGATGACTTCTGTGTATAGAAGACCTATAAGAGGTCTTCTATGTACAGAAGATCTAAAGGAGGCCTTCTGCGTATGAAAGACATATGGAAAATCTTCGGAATAGAAGACATGTAGGAAATCGACTATGTGACCTAATGGAGGATTTCTATATACAGAAGACCTAAAGTAGGTCTTCTACGTTCAGAAGACATGAAGAAAGTCTGCTATGTATAGAAGACCTAATAAAGATATTTTTTGTATAGAAGACCTAATGGATCGTCTATGTACCATCTATGTATACCAAAGGATTTCTTCTATGTATAGAAGAACTATAGCAGATCTTTTATGTATAGAAGACTTAAAGGAGGCCTTTTTTGTATAGAAGTCCTAAAGAAGGTCTTCTACGTATAGAAGACATACATGAAGTCTTTTATGTATAGAAGACCATAAGGAGGTCTAATATGTATAGAAAACCATAAGGAGGTTTATATGTATAGAAGACCACTTTATATGGAAGACCTACAGGAGATCTATGTATGGAAGACGTAAAAGAGGGTTTCTATGTATGAACCAAATTGGGGGAAGTCTTCTATGTATAGAATACCTAAAAAAGTCTTCTATCTATAGAATACCTATATGAGGTATTTTATGTATAAAAGAATAGAAGGTCTTCTATAGTCCAATAGGAAGTCTTCTATGTACAGAATACATAGAATACATATATATGGAAGATCTATATGACGTTTCTTATGTTCAGAAGACTTATATAAATATAGGTCATATATGTCTTCTGAACATTGGTCTTCTTTATATAGGTATGGAGATCCTGTGAAGGAAGAAAAATAAGTCATTAGGTGCCAAGGATGACCCACAACTTCCACATTTTGGCCGGTCAAAAAAATACAGATGTGTGAGAGCCCGCATTTTTATGCTGCACAACGAGTCGTTTTCTCTTGTTTCCTTTTTGAACATCGAATCGGTAAACTTCAGGCAAACAAATTGTTCTGTACCAACCAGAATTGACATACTATGATTTGAAAAACTGGTAATGAGGCCTGAAGAAAGAAGCTTCTAAAAAATTTCATCCACAAACAGCTTTGGTTTGTTTTCCAATACCCGGTCGATCTTTGGACAACACCCGTTTTTCTGAACGTCCTTTGTCCTTACTACAATTAAAGTTAATCGATACCCTTTTGGCGTGAAAATCCACGTTGAAGGTTGTGAAAAATTATCGCACAAAAATGTTAACGAGTTCATTCCATTTTTTGACAAATGATTTTTTTGACGAATTAATTTTGACGACCTGGTCGTACGTACTGATGGCGCCAGGAAACACTTAGTGCTGCGTAGACCAGAAATATATCGTTAGCTAACAAAAAATTAGTAATTGACTTTTTGAATGAATATTGTGAATGTCGATAAACTACATGTGTTGACAAAGTTTTTCACGTCAGCGGTCAAAAAAGGAGCTTCTATTAACAAAAAACAAAAAGACGTAACTACAAGTGGGTTTATTTGATAAATGCAAAAAGGCCTAACTAATAAAACATTCAAATTTTTACTTAATTGTTATTACTGCCATTAAACTAAATAACTAAATTTGTTAAAAAAAAAATTATAGTCTATTATTCATCATATGCAAAATCACCCTGCCGGGCATACTTTTTCATTTCACATGACATTTTTATAGTTTTCATTCAAAACAGTTTTTTGCTTCTCCTACACAATAATGATTTTGTTAGTTACGCCTTTTTGCATTTTAGCTGACGATATATAGAAACAGCCGAATAAGTGGAATTATATATAAAACCTATATACAGGTGCTCCGTGTGGCGACTGGTAAAATGTTGTATATACTTGTATAAAATGTAATAAGAGTAGTAATGAACAATAATTTAATTTTTGTATAGATTTCCGGAATCTCTCTGGACATCATGGGGAACACTTTTGTGAGAATATATTTTTCTATGCCAAATGTTCCTCTTCATTTTCAAAGTTCTTCACCTACTGTGTTATATTTTTTTTTTCATTTAAAAAGGCGTTAACACATAACCTAGAACAACAAAAATTTCGACATGTTGCTGCAGCATTATTCTATCCCATCCCATCCACAGTTGGTCGGTTGGTTTTTCACCAACAAACAAATGCATCTCAAATCACAACTGTTGACCAAAGGCAGTGCTGGCCTCCTTCTTCTTTTTACTTGATATTGGTCATACATTTTTGCATTAGTTGTAGTTTTATTATTTTTGTTGTTGTTGTTTTGTTATCAACTAGCCTAGGGCGGAAAACTCATTTGAAATTCCACCCCTCAACAAAAAATGTTTTTTGCTAATTTTTTTGTTTTATTAAATATTTCCGTTTTATTTTTTGACATGTAAACGTCTGTCTGGCTGTTTGCCTCCGCACAGGTCGCCGATGATCCCGAGACATTGCGTATAAAACAAAATACCAAACACATATCAAATGTGGCCTATCACGGTGATTTGGAAAAGAAAGCTGCCATGGAGAAACAGCGAGGTGCCGCCGAAGTATCAGATACAACAAAAGGTGCGTATATATATATTACCTGTGTAAATATAATTTAATTTTTATAATTGTCTTTAAGAAAATTAAAAAAAAAATCCTTAAAATTTGTAATCATAAACCCCTTTACGACAGACAAATCCCGCATCACTAAAATCTGATTATGTTTAAATTTTCAACATGTCTCGCTCTGGACTGTGTTTGGAAATGCATTATAACATTATATTTTTGATAATTATCCCCCCAATTAATGGTAAGACAGATGGAAATATTTCTGTCAGAATTTTTATGAAAACACAAATTCCAATACCACTGAATATTGGCCAAAAGTTATTTGGCTGGAAATCGAATAAAAGTAATTATATAATTATTATATATACATATGTGTAGGTATCTCGTAGCAAAAGTTAGTGGCAAATCTAGAAACGTTTTTGGTATGCAAATATACTTTTAAAAATGATGGCAGTTGTGTTAAAAACTACCTTGTTACATTTCACAATAATTCGGAATGTTATGTTAGGAGCTTCACATATTGGCCTTGCCATCAGCCATAGCAGTAGTGAAATTTACCATATTTGGGGTAGGTGGATCCACCTGAATGTGTGTGTGTGTGTTTTCTTTTTGTTTATATGATATTGAAAACAATTGAACATAATATTTTTAAAAATAGTTTATGTTTTCACATTTCTTCTAATCCATGTGCTATAGATTTCCGAATTTTATTTTATATTATGACTTCATACCGACAACTGAAATATAAACAAGACGTGCTTTATGAAAACTTTATTTCTAACAAAATACCTAGGCAGTTTTATTTCACACATCTCTGCGAAAGAAACACACACACACGAACACAGGGTCCTCCACTTTAGTTGCTTAATATTTAAATTTCTAAGATAGTATTTTCATAGAGGATATGATCCAGCCCCAAGTCTTCAAAATATCTTTTGCCCAGCTATGTCCTCCACAATAAGGTGAAAATATATATGCATTATTCGAAACTAAGGTACATGTTTTGGCAAGAATCGCCTATAAGTGCCCTGTCCGGTATTTTAAAGGTTCTAATTTTCCAATCGTAGGTGCATTCGGGAATATTACAGGTCCATGAATAAGGCCTAGAACGGCGTTTTGGTGGTCATATGTATATTTTATACCCTCCAGATAGATTGAGTACAATAATAAGTGTATCATTCCGAAATAATCGTCGGAATATATATTTTCTTAATCAGAATAAAATGTAGATTTAACCATGTCCGTCTTTCTCTTCTGCCTGTTGAAATCACGATAGAGATCGCAATATTTATTCTAGAACTCTAAAAATCTTGAATTTTGAATGAATTTGGGTGACTATAGGAGTGTAGGATAGATTTACCAAAAAGTATTTGTACTATATGTATTCGAAAAATAAAACTGTACTAAATTTGTTACAATTTCGAACAGCTGAACGGATAGACCTAAAAACTTGATGTTTGGAATGCAAAGTAAATACGATATAAGAATGCAGTTTTAGAAGTCCGTACTCATGTATTCGAAAAATACTAAACGGTACTAAATTTCGTACAATTTGAATTTGAATGTAAGGATGTAGCTGGAACCCATATATTTGGAATAAAGATTATCGTAGGAGTGTAGGTTAGGTTAGGGGATGTGCAGTCACATGTTTGACTGCAACACTCTGAGACCGGTTAGGTCCGTTGTGATCATCCACAAGAAGAGATACAGCGAAGAGAAGAGACCTAAGACAGATCTGTAGGGGAGAGAAGATTAGTAAATTAAATGAGTGAAGAATGAATGAAGGTCGATGGCCCTATGAGTCAGACAGAAAAAAGTGTTACATGCCAAGGTTGTATGCTCCTAACAACTTTATGTCCCTAATTATGCTGTAGATTAGAGCAGGTTCGGTTGTTGAGAAGAAGCTGAGACCCGGTAGAAAATGAGCACCCATTAGTCTGTGTCGCCTGTAAGCCAGGGCTGAGCAATGATACAGGAGTTGCTCAATTGTCTCCGTCTCCTCCTCGTCAACACAGAGTCTACAGTAATGAGTTGCATCAAGATCCAATTTACTAGTAAAAGCCCTGATGTTGCAGTGACCAGTGATGATTCCCGTCATCACTCTAATTTCAGCTTTGCTTAGGTTCAATAGTGAGTGCGTTCTTTTGGTAGACATAGTTGGCCAAATTGATCTTGACACGTTGCACCTAGGTTCGTTGTGCCAAAGTTCGCAGGATGTTTCGTCAAAGAATGCCTCAAAATTCATATAGAAAAGACATATGGGTGGTTTGATTGAGTCATCAGTTTCTAGATCGGTGGATTGAGATCCTCGTCTAGCTAGTTCATCCGCTCTTTCATTACCCAAGATGTCACAATGTCCTGGTACCCAACACAACCGATAGCTATGGTTAAGTTCTTCCAGAGCTGCTCTACACTTGAGGACGGCTTCGGATTTGATGTGACAAGATTTGATGGCTTTAAGAGCCGCTTGGCTATCCACAAAGATAGTCACCGGTTCAACGACCTCGTAGGAGTGTAGGATGGGAATATGTTGGTATTATTTTTAAAGTGTACTAATGTGTACGAAAAGTTCCAAATGGTACTATATTTCGTACAATATGGATTTGAGTATACCGATAGAAAACTGATATTTGGAAATAAGATTACTGCTGCATTTTAGAATTGATATATACAAGTAGTTTTGAAGTAGTTATGTGTACTGAATGGTATAATTTGAATATTGTGTGAACCGACAGAGCTGGAATCCTGAAATTAGAAGTTGGGATCACTGTTGGGATATTTAGGAAATGTTGGAAATTTCTACCAATTGGTACAAATTGTAAACAAATTTGTACCATAATTAGGTATAGTATTATAATGGTATAATATAATAGTTTGGTTTGATAGAGCTGACATTTTTTATATTTGGAATAAAGATTACTGTTGTAGTGTAGGTATGTATGATGTTTTGGAAATTCATACTTATGTGGAATCAATGGCACTAAATTTGGAACAATTTAGATGTTGGGTCAAACGATCGGCCTGGAATTGGGAACAATGTTTTCTGTTGGATTGTTGTGGTACATAGTTGTTGTGTGTAATAAATTGTAATTAATTGGACACAATTATGTTTTAGGCCAACAGATAGAGTTGAAATCCTTAAATTTGAAATATAGATTACTATTGGAATTTAGGATTGGGGTATGAAGGAAGTTATGTGGATTCAATGGTACTACATTTTGGTACTATTTAGATTTTGGGTGAACCGAGCGGGCTCGGATCCTGGCATTGGGTATAATAATATCTGTTGGATTGTTGAAGTACGCAGTTATGGAAATTTAAATGGAACTAAATTTGCTAAAATTTGGGTGAAACTATAAAGCTCGAATCATGAAATCTACAACAACAGTTAATAAATTGTACCGAATTTAGATTTCTATTGCAGTCAGAATTGGTGTGTAATGTTGATATATAGAGGTAGTTTTGAAAATACGTGCTATGAGAGAACAAAAGTACTCAAATTTAAATTATGATCTATACCTTTTCAAACAAAACAATATTCAAATAATTCCCACATTCGCTAACGAAGCAATGGACATATACTAGTATTTTATGAACCTAATCTCATGCCTTTAAACAGATTTATCGATGTTCTTTTTCGATAGAGGCACATTGTCTACTTCTATGGACTAAGGGGCTTCCATAGGGTCCATAGGGTTTTAAAACGTTTAATATAATATATAAATTATTTCTATGAATAGAAAAGATTCCAGTTTTTTTCTTTCTTTCCACTCTAACACACCCTATGTGATATTTCCATACATACATGTGTGTTTATTCGTTAAAACATATTTAATGAATGGTGCGAAAATCATGTGCGTGAGTTATAAATTGAAAATTGTATCAATTAAGTATTTTTTTTTTATTTTACTGATGTTCCGTCCGTCTCTTCAATAGTTGTGGCGCTCCACCCACTAATTTAACGTTTCGAATTAATTGAAAGTGTCTAAATGATGTTTTTTTTTTGTTCCGTTTACGTCAGTAGTTCAAATTGCGTGTGTTAGTCATTCGATATTTTCAAACATTTCCTATAAATATATATATATTTTTCAGTATTAACGATTTAACAAATTGTTTGATTTTCGTTTTTGTAAATTCTTTTGCACGGTTTCAATTTTATTATAAAAAAAATCATGAGTTCATTACAATCATACTAAAATGCAAAGCAATATACAGTAAAAAAGGTTATTAAACCCGTCTTTGTTGAAAAACCCTCGAACAAGGGTCATTATAATCCCAAATTATAGACTACACATTAAGATTCCCAAAATGGTGCGATTTGTGTATCCGAAGATATGGACTTTACAAACCTACAAATATATGGAAATTTTTACAACGAATTTATTTCACATAGCCAATGTTGGTAAGATAGTGGTCCATGCTATAGATTTTGTATTAAACGGTTCCGTATAACCGGGTGCACCCACTTCCGAGTCAAATATACGGGTAACCGGATAGGCAAAAATAAATATCCCCATTATTACCTACCTCTGGAAAAAAATCTAAAAATATCTGATAGCTTTTACCAAATTATAGTTAAGGCAAAAAATGTTAAAATCATTCTCAAGCATGATTTCATGCCTTCAAATCAATTGTGGAATTGCCGTTTCCATTCAGTTGAACACATTCATCAATAGAAGATTTTCCATCTATTGATATAGTCTTACATGAAAATAAAAAAAATGATCATATTGTATGGGAAAATATGATCCTTTTTTAGAGCTAGATTATATAGCTGTTATACAGAATATATTTTAGATTTATATAAATTTTTTATTAAAAATACATGTACCGATATAAAAGCTAAATATTATAATAACAGGAAACAAACCTGTGTAGGAATAAAATGTGTATATTGAATCAAATTTTGTTCAGATTATAATATCCCAATCCATTTATATATAAAATTATATTTACAATATAATTTTTATTTCATATGTGTTATAACACATTTTTTTAAATTTTTATATAATATTATTTTAATTTTTATAATTTAAAATTTTAATTTTTTAATTTTTTCTGTTTAATTTTATGTTGATTTTTGTGTCGCCCTGTTTGTTGCTTGTTTTGTGTGCTAAAATGAATCCCAACTCACTTGAACGTTTCCATATTCAACACTCAATTCACCACATTATGGGTTTATTCAACATCCGTGTGTTAACCACCAATAAAACGAATTCATGACAAAAACCAATTGTTAACAAAAACTCACCCTCACCACCAAATTAAATCACCAATATAATACCACACATTCCATTTGTTGAAAAACAAAATTAAATTCACCATAAATTATTGAATTGAAACAAACAAATAAAATTGTGTGCATGCCACCACATTTGGATGAAATATTTTTAATAAAATTAGACGAATCGGAATATTTCTCAGAACAATTGGCCGCTGAACAATTTGCACAATATGCCCCACAAGTACATGCATCCCATTCACCATTGCCGCCACAGCAATTGTCACCACGCATGGGTGTTGTACCACAGCAGCAACAACAGACGCAGCAGCAACAGCAGACACCGTCACATGCACTGGCACCACAACAGCACAATCAATATCACTACACAACAAACACACCGTCACAGCAACAGACAATGCCATCACCCAATATACAACAGCAACAACAACCACAACACAACACGGCCCACATTGTGCCCAGCAATCAGTCGCTAGGTGGTATGACCGCTCACAATTATCAAACTAATAATGGTCGGCCGGGGCCAGCACAACACCAACATCCCTATGCAACATCACACCAACAACAACAGCAGCAACAATTTATACAACACGAACAGCAACAACAACAGCAACAATATCAGCACTATCAACAGCCTCAATTGATGCGTCAGCCTCAAAACCAGCAGCAGCAACAGCAACAATTGCAATCCCATGGCCTAAAACAATCTTCTCATTTGTATCCCTCTTCTTCTTCTTCTTCTACCCCTACCACAGCTGGCGGCGGCATTTCAAATGTTCAGGCAACATCACAATATCAACAACCCAACAACAGCTACAATCAATTGCGTTCGGCCATTTTACAAAGTTCTCATCATCCGACAGGCGCTCTAATCCCCAATGATCCCTCAATGCCGGCATTGAGCACGGCCACACCCTACAATAATACTTATGACCAGTATGATAATAACACAACCACCACCAGTAATAATTACCCCAACAGTCAAAGGGCAACATCACAGCAACAATTGTATCAGCAACAACAACAACATCACAACAATAATCATCTCAACAGTGGCAGCAGCAGCATCAATAATAATGGCGGTCTAGTACCATCACTCGCTTATCAGGCACAAAAAAGTTCTTCGGCAGCAACAACACCCAGCTATGGTGGTAGTAGTGGCGGTGCCACAACAGCCCAGCAACAACTATTCCCCAATAATTCGTACACGAACAGCTATCAATCAGCAGGAGCAGTACCTCAGCAGAGTGGACTAGGTGGTAATCTCAACGGCAGTGGTGGTAGTGGCATTGTTGGTGGCCAACAACAACAACAAACAAATCATCATCAACATCTTCATCATCATCACAATAGCAATGGTGGTACAACAACAATTAATGGTAGCATTGGTAAAATAGCCGATTATGATCCCCTATCCGATGGACCGCGTCCATTACCCAATACCGCTAGATCAAGCACAACACTCATCTATAGTTCTGATAATCGTGCAAATGGTAAGTCATGTCGATCCATATACATACCTAACATGCTAGAATTACTTTTCAATATACATATCATTATATTCAGAAAAAAACTCAATATAACATAACCTCAATTAAGTGTTAAAATATAGACATTGAAAAACTTGATTAAATTTATCTCAATTCAGTAATGTATTAAAAACTTGTAGAGCTTATCATGCTTTGCTTTTGTGCTTATGTATGCTTAATGTTACCATATCCAATATTACAGCTACTCTTTTAGATGTAAGCGTCGTAATTTTATTTTACATTTAATAAAATAAAGATAAGTAATTGATTTATGTGTAGAGCATACTTTTAGGCGCTATTAATTTTCTGTATCTTTTTAACAACAATCTAAACAATATCGATAGTTGTTAAAAGTTAAGGAATAGCCCTGCTGATTATTGCTATGTAAAGTATGTTTTTGAGAACTTTATAAAAATATTTAATAAGTTCCAAAAAATATACCAAAAATGTCAAGAGTAATTTAGACCGCCAAAGATAGTGCAGTCGCTTCAATTCGCATATGGTCTGAATTGATGGCAGCACATCGAGTGATTCTTGTCCACGTGCAGAATATATATTATACCCATTTAGTCGGACTCAATAAATGCGCTCCTCCAATATTAAAACTCATCGATCCTAATTGTTAGGGATACGATCTTCACCACCACATATCGCAGTTATTACGATGGAATACTCTTATACTGTGTTCTACGTATAACTTACCACAGACCCGCCTATTATTTTATAAGAGATCAATAAGATTTCTTTGATAATGCCCCCGGTGCAGACTAACATGCACTTATATAATCGATAATGGAACCCGATTCCATATATTCTGGTAACAATGCTATCAGTAAGCTTCTGAGGAGTTCCATTGAGTACTTGGTTGGGTAGACTCGTTCGTACTTCCTCACTACTGTAGGAAGTTTTCTAATTCGTAGGAATTTCTTCTAGGTTATCAAGCATCTATATTTGTCAACATACGTTGGCAATCTTAGCAAAAATATTAGAGGATCCATGCCGTATACAGGGTGAATTTCTGATTACCGAGTATATAGCAATAACACTCCCTCGTACGTCATGGGCTGTATAATCCCAGTTGGAATACTTTCCTAACTGAGGTGGAGAGTTCCATATTCCTCAATTAGACTGAGCAGGGGCTCACTCGGTCTAGTAATACAATCCGTTGAACACACAGGAAAATTGTCCCTTTTTGTATGCTGGCTTGTGCTGGATCCGACGTTTTGGTACTTAACATTTACGTTGATAAAAGTTGTTTTAAAATTTGTTGAGTCAATACATAATAATGTTTATGTAATACCGTCGGCACCCTCTGACTTCAAGGCATATACCTCCGATAGACACGTGGTCGCATATCTGCCTAGCGAGCAGTAGCTACATATCCATTAGGATAAAATACTATGGACCCATTGTTTTTGCCTATTTTAGAGGCTACAATATTAGTTCTAGAAACGGAAACAAACTTGCTATTTTTGGCCGACTCCCAAAAGTTCTTCTAACCAATATGTGTTTTAGGTTTTAAAATTGAGCCTGAACAATATTCCTACAATTTGAAAAGTGAAGCCCTATTTCATCAGGAGAATGAGGCTGGATTTCTGGCTTTTCATCTAGCTCTTGACAATCTATGTCAAAATATTTTATTGTGAACCCACATTTATTCGCCATAAGCAATATTTCTGATACACTCATGCTGTGGTAATGTTGAACCTAGTTTGATTGATTGTTTGGATCAGCTCCCATATTTAGTTAACCTTAAAAATAGATTTTTATTTATATTGGTATAGCAAATTAACACATTATTTCTGAACAATTCGAAACGAGCGATTTTTTTGGCTTAATACCAAACAGCTGGCTTTTTACTAATATTTCACTTATTTTTGATGTGGTTCAATCGAAGGCATCTGTTTCGAATGTTACAGCATCAGGCTGTAAGAATAATATTTTTTTACATATTAGAGAATAGTCTTATTGCGTTCCTAAGAATTGAAAAATTGCGATTTAAAAGTATTAGGTTACTAATTATAGTTCAATTTTTTGAAAAAGACACAATAGATATTTGAAATAAATGTAACCACATTATATCATAAAATATTACTAAACAATTAACCAAAATATTCTTAACATTTTACGATAAACTTTATTTTAAAAAAATCTATTTCAAACCATTAACATTTTCTCAAATGCAAATATAATTTATTTATTTCTCTTACTATTTTTTTATAATCTTTACTTTAATTTACTACACTTTCCATTTTTTTTTCAATTCTTTAAGTCACTTTCTATTTAACAAAATCTATTTTATTTTCTTACTTCTTCTTTTCTTGCTTTCTGTTCTGTACTTTTCCGTTTTCGTGGTATTTAATTTTGATTGGTTCTAATAAAATACAAAAATAATACAATATCTTCAGTTAATAATTCGTATGCCAAACGTATTGGCTCTATAGCTGATCTTGATCCTGTTAATGGTATTTATGGTTCTTTAACAGCCCAAGAACAGCAGCAGCAACAACAACACCACATGTCCAATCACAATATGCAACAACCACAATATTATCATCAAATGCCGCCGGTAATGCAACAACCAAATCATCAACCACAACATCACAATTTGCAACAGCAGCAGCAACTACAACAACAACAGAAACAGGCCAAACAAAATTTGGTAAGTAATTCATAAAAAATAAAATATTGCGATGCTTATTGTTTTCTTTCGTTCTATATTTTCCAGCGTATTTATCGCGCCCTTTATGACTACGAAGCCCAAGACGTTGATGAGGTTAGCTTCCGTGAAGGTGATATTATTTTCGAAGTTGAATCCATTGATTCTGGCTGGATGACAGGACGTGTGGAACGAACTGGCAAAACTGGCATGCTACCTGCCAACTATGTTGAACAAGCGGTTATATAATAGGAAATGCATGCCAGCGATAACAACCATCACCATGGGCAGCAGCAACAGCATCAGCATTCGGAAACCAATGGCAAGATACCATTAGCCAATGGTAATGGTCATATAAGTAATGGCAATATCAATAACCAAAATAATAAAGCGAACGGCAACAACAACATCACCACCACCACTACAACAACAACAGCAGCAGCAGCTAATAGCAACAATAACAACGATGTCATTGTCAATAATATCCTGAACAATACAAATATCCCTGCCACCTCGTATGCATCGTTGCATTCACCCTCACCCACACCAACAAAAGGTTGTTGTTGTAAAAATCACATATTAGTTATAACAATAATGTGCATTTACATGGCACTTGTATTTATAATATTTTCCAATGTTTTTATGGATGATGATCGGACCAGTAGTAGTAGTAACAACAACAACAATAATAATTTAAAGCATAAATCCCAAATGAATAGCGTTGATACGCAGAATCAAAATGATCGCCAACAAAATTTCTACTATTATTTACTAAATCATGTATTTTGAGAGAAAAGAAAGAAATAATTAACAACACCAACACGAAGAAGAGGAAAATATGATGTTGTGTAAGACACACATACAAGAGGCGATGAAACTATGATTTATTATTCTAATTTGTTAAGTTATGCAGTACCTTTTTCTACATCAAGGTTTCTAATTATTAATCAAACAAAGCAAAACGCATTTGAGTTAAACACATATATTTTTTTATTATTTTGAAGCATTTTTTAATTTAAAACTAATTTCAATAATATTTTCAAAATGTTATGAATAAATATAAAATATAAAAAAACAAAAATTAATTTATTTCTTGCTAGTCAAGAAATGTAAAAAATTAAAAATAATAATAAATAAAATACAAATAAATTATTAACGTATACCTATCTACTTGATAAAACTACAACAACATTGTGGCCTTTTTTCCATTGGAAACATAATATTTATTTAATTTTCTTTTTGTTTTTTGAAGACTAACCCCTCCCCACAAATGCCCACTAATTTAAGAGCTCCATTATTACTAACAAATTCAATCAATATTATTTTTCTCTTTGTTTGTAAATTGTTTGATGAGCAGCTTTTAGTTGATAGTAAATTAATGTGCAGTGCAGTCTAGAAATTTTGGAGTACTGACTTCACCAATAAATTACTTTTCTTGACTTGCTGTATATGAACGTGATTTTTCCTTAACGATTTTATCTAATGAAATCGGAAGAATGAAGAACACGAAAAAGAAAACACAAACAAAGAAGAATTGTTGTTATTTTGAAATATATATTTAAAACTCTAAATAACATATGTATAAAAACAAAATTTATACATCAATAAGAAAACATAAATAAAACAACATAAAACCGAATGAAACCCCATAAAAATATAAATATTTGAAAACTAAACCTTAATAATAATAATATTAATTATTATAAAATTAAAAACAAAAAACAATAACTGTATTTCTATTTATCATAAACATAAAATGTCTGAAACGAATTTCTTCTCATTTTTTTTTATATATATAAAAACATAAATAAATATAGATCAATATAAAATAAATTTATATATTGTATACAAAAGCAACAAAAAATATATATAAACGTGAAATATACAACAATAATAACAACAACAAAACAAATGAATATACATGTTGAGTTTTTTTTTAATAATATCATTAACATAATGATGATCATGACAAAAATATAAAGTTATTATAAAAAAAATGATTTTAATAACTTGAAAATGGAACTGAAATAAGATGAAGTTAAAACAAATCAATTTGAAATTTATTACAATTAAAAATAACAATTGAAAAGAATCACAGATTTGTAAACGCCCCTACGTCATATTGTGAATAGATACCCCCTGTACAGGCATGCAGGGATGGATGTATGTGATCTAAGTAGACAGAGATTCAGCGGTATAAAGGATGGTTTCAAGACCAACAAACTCGGAAGAGTATATGTTGTCGCAATTTCGTCAACCTAATAATATCTTTTAGGACTTTTTTTGGAACTGTAGAAAAACTTTGAACTTGGCAGTAATAATAAACAATTTACTAATTTTATAGCCAAATATAAATTTAAATTGGTTTAGAAGTGTAACCTGAGATGAAGATCTTTAAGTGTATGCCTGGTAATTGAAGAATTTAGACGACTTTCGTGGTTTCCGATAAGTCAGTGGCCATCATGAAGAACGATATGTCGATTAAGGTAGATACAAAATTATCAACCTTATTCTGGATATTCGCTAGGGAGAGATCTTGCTTGTGAAAAAAAATTTTCGCTTTCATATTAGCGCCTTATTCTGAATGAATAGGGAGAAGTAAAAATGCGAGATTTTTCATAATGGTGGTAAAAATATTGGTTCGTGTTGCCATATTGTAATTTTAGTTGTAATGTGTGTTGCACCATTGTAATAGTTTTCAAAATTGTATTTATTGATTCTTTTAATTGTTATTTAAACTTTATAACAATATAAATGTGAAATATCAAGAATCCTCTATAAATCTGGTTTGTAATTAAAAGAAAATAAATTAATTTTTGAAAATATGGCAACATACAACGGTGTGTGAAACATCTGTTTCTTGTTTGATGCAATTTGGCGCATCGACTACAACAAGATTACAAATAAAAGAACATTTTGTTGATGATGGCAAAAACCGCATTGAACGAAACGGGAACGAGAAGAAATCAGCAATTAATTCGCAGTTTATTACTTCTCTACATAATTCTTTTTATTCAATTTTCATATTTAATCTCCCCAAATTCTTAAAGTGGCCAATTAATTTATGATATGCTCCTCCTCCCCCTTCTTGATTTCGTCCTTCATATCATGCAGACGATACATTCAAAGGAAACCATATTTTTTAGTGTTTTTTTTTTCAATGTTTTTTTATAACTTTTATTTAAGTTTTCACTGTTATGTACTGTTTTGATTGGTATTTCTCTTCGAAGTTGAGCTTAGTGATCGATGTTTTGCAATAAAAAGGAAAACATGCATCGTTATCAATAGGATTTCCAATGACATTTTATTTTTTGTTTTATTTGTTGTTGTGTTGGTTTTGAGTTAAAAATATGCATACAACCATTTATAATATTTAAAATAGTCATAGAATAACTATTGTGGAGATATTTTTCATAAAAAAAAATTTTAATACTTTTATTTTTTAAGTCAGCTCCCTTTCAATTTATTAGCGAAAATGTTCGCACAAAATATCATCATCGCTGTAATCTCCCAAAGAGAATTTTTTCGCTTTCAAAGCTTATTCAGAATAAGGGAAAATTAAAAATGCGAAAAAAATTCCTGCGAGGTCTGGTTGATAATGACTTTAAAGGGAAGAGCGAATAAATTCACTGTGAATTGATGTCCAGAATAAGGCTGCACATTACATAGGAAGCTTTATTAAGGAAGCTTTCCAATATAACAACTTTTCGTATACTCCCGAATATAACCATTATGTGGGTACTGTCTAGTAGCGGCCCAATTGTTTTTATACCATGGACCGAGGTTTATGTCTATTGCTCGTAGGTCTCCTTGACGTGAAAATCTGGGTTCTGTAGTCATCGGTGGTCATTATTTCTATTGGAAGGCGAACATGACTGTATGCTTTATCTTTACAAATACCGTGTAATCTTAAATTTTTTAAATGAAATCTGGAAAATTAAAAAAAAATTAACAGGAACAAAGTTTACAAAGTGACTTTAAATTTGAAAATATCCATTAATAGTTCCGTTCCAGAACCTAAAAGAATCTACTCATTTTACATGTTTTGCAACTTTTTACTCGAAAACCGTTCCTCAACCCACAAAACTGGTAAAACATTGACTCAAATTTAAGAGAGCACAAAACAAAATGGCGTTCTCTTTGAAAACTTTTTACTCGAGAAATTTGGTCGAGTAAAAATGGTAAACAGGAATGCCTACTTCTGATTAGCTGTTATGTTGATTTTGAAGTATTGCCATCTAATTTTGGCATATTTACTAGATTTGCGTTCCCGAACATTTCAAATTATTTTGTACTCTGAGAGCAATTTTGAAATGTTTCCCTTTTTCTAGATTTACAATTAAAAAATTACTGGAACAGACCAAATGTTTATTACTTACATTGTGCACCCTAATAGTAGGTAATTAATATACTTGTTCGTTGTTTATTAATTTTTGTTTTAAATGATGTATAAGGGTATGCAAGAATTAATTCTGGTTCTAACTAGGTAAAAAATGAAACTGTAAGGTAAGTCATTTATTTTAAAATTTAAATATATGGTTCTAGCAAATTGGATATATTTCATTGAACCCACTATTTCGATTATTAAGAAATTGTAAAAAATTCAAGATACAGTTGTAAATGTAAACAAAGGTGGGTAGTTGGCGATTTTATTGGAAACAAAATGAATAAAATTTGATTATTATGAAAAACGGTCCAACTTATATCAGTTCCATTATCTAAAAACAAAAATTAAAAAAAACGCCAAGCCATAATGAAGCATTTTAAAGCATGAAGAAAAATAAAAACAGACTAAATAATACTACTAACTATTTAAACACCTATCCATAAACATTTTATATAAATCACAACAAATCTGCCCCATTTGCCCCCACTTTAAAATAAGTAGTAAAAATTAAGTAAAGCACTGCTTAATAACAAGAACAACAACAAAACAATTGGTGGACTGATTTAAGCCTAAATGATTCTTACAATAAAGTTTTTGACTTTTCCAAAAAAAGAGAGTCTGTAATGGTCTTCGGTTTTACGAAATTATACATATAGCCTCCATAAATAAAATATACAATTTATACAATACAATAAAATAGAATTTTGATAAAATGTTTTCTTAGAATGGGACAACAACAATGAAAAGAAAACAGCTTTTGTAGTTAGCTAAATTGGAATACATACACATACAAATAGCATTAAACATATTGGATATGGATAATAACCATAATTAGAAATAAAATAAAACCTACACCCAATTATTGGTAAATCATAGACTGTTAAATAAAACTTAGACTGCTTACAATAAAACAAAAAACAATTATACAATAATACACATCAGTTTTTGTACACGCTAAAGGTAATGCTAAAATTGTCGGGAGAACAGCCCTTTAGAAAAGGTGAGAAAATATAAAATAAACTTTATTATTTGGAATTTGTATTTCATAGTTTAGCAAGATTTGTCCATGCTAAAGGTAAATGATTTATTAAGTGGAAAGGAAAATCAATAAATTATTTTGTTTAAATATTTTTTCTAATATGTTTTATTATTTATCTTTTATTTTTTTTTTTCCAGAAAATATTGAGGTTAACATATTGATCATTTAAATAATATTAAAAATCGCCACTGTAAATTTTGAACTATTTTAAGTGGGTATCAAACCTAATATTAGTTTTTAATTTGTTTTACCTTATACAGAAATTAAAAAATCTCCATCGGAATAAAAGGATACAAAATGGAACACGAATAATTTCTAAATTTATTAATGTAATTTTGAATTAATTCGATAATCTTGAATTTTGTTGATCCGATTTAAATTAAAAAATATATCAGAGATGTCCGAAAATAGTTTTTTTGAAAAAAAAAAAAAAAAAATACCAAAACCAAATTCGCACTTTTTCGAATTTTGGGATATCGTTAAATAAAATCAATACCATGGCATAATTACAGAAGAATTTGATGATGACAACCCATTTTAATTTGGAACTCATATATCAATTTCAAATAATATGAAAAATAATGCATGTCGATTGGCATATTTTCAACAAATTAAACAAAATATATTTTCTAAAGCTGAACAGTGCTCCTGAGATTTAACAATGGTTTTACATTACATATTTTTAAGTTTTAGAGGCAGGGACCTGCAAAATATTTATAAATGTAAATGATTTAGCAATTTTTGCCACTGAACACACGATATGCGTACATTTCGAAGGAATATATTTTCATTCAAATTTTGAAAGCTGAATACTGTCAAAGGCAAATTTATGAGACTACCTTGCATAATTATGCCATGATCAAAACCTTTTTGTTTTTTATTTGACATTTTTAAATACTCTTTAATAAATACTGTTGTTTTTTTTTTCAAAAACATTTATATTTTCGACCATAGCTTCACATTTACCATGCCTTTTGAAATTGGTGATTTCTGAAAGTCAATATCGTATCCACATAAAAAAATATTTAAAAAAAATACATTGCATACAATAAGCGGGGGTTCTCTTGCCTCCTCTGTTATCGTCACTTTATATTAAAATTATAAATAAAAATTATAAATAAAAACAACATAAATAAAAAACTCTAAAAACTGTTATCGAATGTTAATATTATTCTTAATAATTTGTGTAATAATGTTTTAAGTTAATCTAAGTGAAATATTTTATTTACAACTTTAAGACAAATTGTTTTGAATATCAAAAAAAAAAAAATAATTAATTAAAATAGATAATGCAAACAAACACACAAATAAATAAAAATAAAAAACACTAAAGCAATCACAATTAATGAATTTATGCAAACAAATACGAAAAATAAATAATAAACTGCTTACTAAACTTATTGACAAATACAAAAAAAAATATGAATAATAACAAAAATAACAAACTATTTAATAAACGATAATGAAAACAAAAATAAAACAAAGAATGTAATCCAAAAAGAATGTGCATTTTTAATGGTGACAATAACGTAAAGAAATATATGCGTAAGCATGGTTACTGAGGGGTTGAGCATTCATCCACATTTCATGAACAAATGTTCGATGTTCCATCCATGTATTCAGCGAAACATTGACAACTTTGGAAATGGGTTGGCATACATTTGACATAGAATTGGAATTGTAAATCTGTATTTTTATACATTCTGGACAGCAATTACTCGCTCTTCCCTTAAAAGTATTCGCATTTTCACAATCCCCTTATTCTGAATCAAGTTCGAAAGCGAAAGAATTCGCTATGGTGAAAAATAGTTATTCTGTATTACAGGGAGTGGGAGTATGTCATGAAATGTTGTGCGAAATTTTTCGCTAATAAATTTAAAGGGAGCTGACTACAAAAATATACATAAGTATTAAATATTTTTATGAAAAATGTCTACACAATACCTTTTCTTTGACGTTTTTCAATATTATAAATGGTTGTATGCATATTTTTAACTCAAAAACAACAAATAAAATGCCATTGGAATATTGCCACGGAATGTATAAAGGCGAAAAGGAATATTCAGGCCGAATTTGTTGCAATTTGGAGGCGAAATAAAGACATTCTGTGTGAGAATCTATCACTCCAGAAAAAATATTGAAAATAATGGAAAACCGACATAGTCAAATTTGCCTCAAATAAATATTTGGTCTGTTCCCGTACTGCAAGAATCTACTATTTTTTACTCCGATAACACTTTTTTCATTTATGATATCGAAGAAAATAGTAAAATCGAGTAGATTCTTGCAGTACGGGAACAGACCAATTATGAAAGTCTTGTTTTAGATTAGGCAAGTTTACTTGCGGCAAGTCTTTGTTTGTAGGAGAGAGGGGCAAGGGGAATAGAAATGGAAAAAAATTGCTCGTACCGTATTTTTTGACATTTTATATTTATTTAAATGTGAAAAAACTATTTGAAACAAATAAAAAAAAAATTTTTTGAAACAAATAAAATTTTTTTTTTTTTGATTTCAAAAGAGAACGATAAGAATTGCCGCAAGTAAACTCGCCTAATCTAAAACAAGACAAAGAAAAGTAATAATGCTACTCAAAATGTTGTTTTCTTTAAAAGTAGTGTGCATGATTTGAAGGACGAAATAAAGGAGGAGAAGCATGTCATAAAATAATTGGCCATTTTAAGTATTTGTGGACATAAAATATCGAAATCAAATTAAAAGGTACGCAATTATGCAATGAAATAATAAACTGCGTGTTAACTTAATTCAATCGCAGATTTATTCGTTGAGACTTTGAATTCATTCATTGCGGTTTTTATCATCATAAAAAAATGTTATTTTATTTCTAATCTGCTGTAGTTTTTTATTATTTAAAATACTGAAGGCGGGTCCTCCCCCAGCTAGTACACTTTCTATTCAAATAGAAGGTACAGGATACACCATATGTAGATACCGTCTAAAAATATGAATCGTTTTTGGATGGTTGTTGTATAAAAACAGATCTTCAATGATAAACTATTTTTCGTTTAGTGTGGTAGATAAGTTAAGCGAATGTTTAACACAGCGCCGTTTTGTAATTTTTTAAGCCCGTAGGCGTGATTAACTCTCTTGTGAGCCGTACGAAGACGAACTGAATCCGTTGTAGTCGTTGCACCAAATTGAATCAAAACAATAAACAGCTTTTTCACATGCCATATTTTCAAACTTTAATTTATTTTCTTTTAATTACATAGAAGTTCTACAGCGGATTATTGATATTTCACATTTATGTTGTTATAAACATTAAATAACAATAAAAAGTAATAATTAATAAAATCAATACATTTTTGTTATTTGAATTTTGCCTTGTAAGGGTAGTGATCATTTGAAAGTAATTTTAAGTGATTAGTTATACTCTTTCGAGTTGCAAAACTTAGATCATCAAGCTCGACTCGGAAGAGTATAAATAATCACTTAAAATAAAATCAATAAATAAAATATTACAAAATTAAATTACTCTCATTACACCTTAAATTATCTACAATATAGCAACACAAATCTTTTTTTAGCCATCATTTTCGAAAATTCGAATCTGCATTTTGCATTTCTTGCTTCTCTCACCCATCATTCAGAATAAGGCGAGAACGTGAAAACGAAACATTTTTCACAAGCGAGATCTCTGTCTAGCGAATTTCTAGAATAAGACTTTAAAATGTTTCAAATGGAGTATTTGATTTCACCATCGATTGCACATAGTAATATTTTTATATCACAAAATTGGCTATGAATATGACCTGTTGGAAAAGTTACTTAAGGAATTAAACTTCTTAGTGCCCATGTCTATTGTCACTACAAATAATCTGTAAACATTTCCTTATCTTTTTATTTACCTAAAACTGTTAATTTTTTTACTTTATTAATTTCATGGAAAAGTTTCACAGAGCGATATTATAAAACAGCATTTCCATACATGTTTTTGTACAATTCGTAAAAAGCGAGTGAGTTATTACCAAAACACCTGTGGAGTTTCGTATATTAGCAAACATTTGATAATAACTCATTCGAATTTGTTCGATTCGAATTTTACACAAGCAGATTGTTATTCTACACTGGAAATTTTCATAAAAGAAATTTAAAATTTTTGGTAGTAATCAAAGTTTGTCCCTTCCTCGCACAAACTCAAATTACTTCCAAAAACAAAATTTCAATATGTGATTTCGTAGAATGAAATTGAAATAAAATATTTAGTTTTCACTTAATATCCAAACTTGATAGACTTGCTCGCTGTGCCAACAACGTTTCAATTATAATATTTTTGGTATTGTTTATAATATGCTCAAAGGTCTTGAGATCGTTATCCTTCTCAGCAGATATGTGGTCAAGTTTTTCACGCAATATTGTGATTTTTTCACTGGCCAATTCCAAACTAAAAAAAATAAAATTTAATATAAATATTAAAAGTAAATTATAGTATTGGAATATTTTTATGCTATGTTTACATCAAATGGAAAATTAAAATTTCAATCGAGTATCTTTTTTATATAAACGACAGTCTTTGGAATAAATCGTTTGATGTTAACACAGCTTTATTTATAAATTTTCATTATATCATTTAATAAATCAACATACCGGTTTCTTAACTCGGTTACATTTGCCACTTCGCCCATATCACCACCACCATTATCAGAATTATTACAATTTGGTGCATTCAGTATTGAACTATTTTCAAATGTAAATGACATCAATGATGTGTTACTACCCATGGCCGATAAACTAGATGCATATTCGGCAATACGCTGTGAACGTTTCTTTTTCTCATTATTCGTATCGATTTCACGTTCCATTTCACGAATTTTCGATTCTAGACGTGAGATGCGTATCTTTTGTTTTGCATTCTGATCGTGTAGATGTTCATTTTTTAAACGTTCCCCTTCGACGCGTTCATTGAGTCGTTTATTGTGTTCCATTAGGGAATTCTTTTCGGCTTCCAATGTATCCAAAATCGTTATGAATTCTTCCTGCGTAATAAGGAAAATAATATATTTATTATAATACTTCTTTAATAAAAATCCTATTTAGGTAATTATCAAAGACGATCGAGTAGTACACTACTTGGATTACATTCAATACGTTATACTGCAGTATCGGTGTTATACCAAATCATTCAAACATTTTAAAGTTTACTTGTCAGTAAAAAAGAATTTCCCTTGAAACAAAGTTGTCAAAATCTGTAAAAATTGGAATTAATTCATTGGTCTGTACTACCTCCTGAAGTTCGGTCAATATATACAGGCTGTTCTATAATGAAAGAAGTCACAGTTGCTAGAATTTTCTGGGACTCTCGCACTTGTCAGTTAGTCAAGCGTCCCTAAAGACAGGATTCGGACTATAAATTCTAGGGCGGTTTATATGCTTGTCTAAGGTGAATCAGAGCCTAATGATAATCCAGTTAATGAAACTATTAACCCACCTTTTAACTATTATATCCGGCAATATCTGTAAAATTTACTGCGAGCAAATTGAGAAGATATGAAATCGACTACAGATATCACAAAAAGTCAATCAAAAACCTCAACCCCTTTTCTCATCCCATTTTATTCCTATTTTTCAGAATGAACGCAATGGGCCAAAGGTCATCAAGTATAGTGACCACATACAGGATTTTCTATAAAGAAAGAAGTCACAGTTGCTAGAGTTTTCTGGGACTCTCACACCTGTCAGTTAGTCAAGAGTCCGCAATGACAATATTCGGACTATAAATTCTAGTTCGGTTTATATGCTTGTCTAAGGTGAATCAGAGCCGAATGATAATCCAGTTAATGAAACTATTAACCCATCTTTTAACTATTATATCCGGCAATATCTGTAAAATATACTGCGTGAAATTTGGGAAGATATGAAATTGACTACAGATATCATAAAAAGTCAATCAAAAACCTCAATCCCTTTTCTCATCCCATTTTATTCCTATTTTTCTGAATGAACGCAATGGACCAAAGGTCTTCAAGTATAGTGACCACAGTCGTAGCTGCTGCAAATCCATTAATCTACCCCCACGAACTTATTGCATTTCTTACCTTCCTCAATTCCCGACAAGAAAATAAAAATCCTCCACAAATAGCCTTTAAATCAGCTTCCAATTTCTTAATGACTTCTTGCAGCTGCATTATCTGATCCTCTTTATTCACAATGAGTTGTTCTAATTCTTCCATTTTTGTTTGCAAGTGATCGTTATTCAATTTCAAGTCATCATTTTCGTTTGCCAACTTTTTCGAATTGTCCGCCATATCGGCAATTTTCTTTTCATATTGTAATTTTTGTTGATTCAATTTATCATTCATTGTAGCCAGATTTATGCTATTGAAATCGCTCTGCTCCTCCAAATTATTTGTTTTCATTTTATGCTTCGAAATTTCATCGTTAAGTGTTTTATTGCGCACTTTAAGGGCTAGAATTTTATTTTGCGCCTCATCGAGTTGTGATTTTAGTGCGGCGATTTCTTTTTCTAGATTTTCCACTTTAGCACGATGTTGCAACTCAGTTTTACGAACATTAGGACGATCCATAGAGAGAATACTGCCGCTAATTGAGGTTAAAAATTGTTCCGAAACATCACCGGGTGGGTGGCAATCATAGTTTTCTTCTTCCTGCTGTTCAAGACGTTGCTTAAGCTCTTGCACTTTTTGTTGCAAATGTAAAATTTGTTGTGCCCTGCCACGCCAATTGGAATTTGTGGCATGTGCCGCCAAAGTGTTTAAATTGTAATGTTCGCCAATTTCCTGTTGTAAGCATTTCTGCGCCAATTTAAGTTGATTACTAAGTTCAACATTTTTGTTGCGAGTTTCAAAGAGTTTCTGCTGCATGGAACTGAGTTTAGCTTGGAGTTCGTCCAGAGGTGTGGACTAAAAGATACAAAAATATTACAAATATGTTCTTTAAAATATGAACCGAACAATTAAATGTAAGATACGAATTAATTACTTACCCCCTTTTTTGAACATTCTTTATCATGCTGATGTTTTTCTTCGGCTAATTTCAAATTCTTTTCAAGTCTTTGTATTTGCACATCCTTCCGATTTAAATGATTTTTTGTCGTTTCCAATTCTGCTCTCAATTGGCGATTTTTCTTATTTAATTCCAACAATTTACTACTGGCAATAGATGAATTACAACGCAACTCATCGAGTGGCACAGAATTGAGAACTTCATTCAAAGAGTTTACCGATTTTCGTAATTCAACAATTTCCGTATTCTTTTCATAGATCATTTTCGATAAAGACTCATTTTGTTCTTCTATTTGTATTAGTTTCTTTTTTAATTTTTTACTTTCGGATTTTTTCTTCTCCATTGATGTGGATGCAGATTTTTTCAAACGTTCCATCAAATCATTTTCGTAATTGGGTTTTCTGGTTTTTATTGGCACTTCGGTACAAACGGCTTTATCGTGTGTCATAATAATATCCATATTTTTATAGATGTTTTATCGAATTCGTTTATTTATACGTTTTTTTATGAAATATATATTTGGAAATTATTAAAATATATTTAAAATGCTATGTGAAAAAGTAACGTTTGTTCAATTGTCTTCGTTAATTTCTGTAAATGTCAGCAACAATTACGTTACGTTGCCACTAACTTATCAAAACATTTTATATATTTAGTTTGTACAGTACTGAGTGAGTTCACAGTCCAAAACATGCATGAGTGTATAGAAAGACCATGGTGTATAGATTTGCATAGTATGTCAAATAAATTATAAATATATACATTCAACATCAATTCCTATTCTCACAACGAATAATAAATGTAAATACAGCCTTGCACGGTCTGGAATACATCTACTGTAATATCCAACAATATATGTTGACAGCAAATCTCATCATATCAGCCATTCCATTAGTCGACTTGTAGATCCCTACCTTTGACGTGTTCATCTGTCAAAATCGGAATAAGGAAAAAACACATCAACACCATGGACGGATTTATGATGGTAAATTACAATTTTTATAAAAAAAATTAATATATTTAAATAAAAATAAAACCTACAATGTTTTTCAGGACATTATCAAGGGCATGTGTATCATGGACAACGATGGCAATCGTATCATTGCCAAATACTATGACAAAAACATCTTGTCCACAGTCAAAGAACAGAAAGCCTTCGAAAAGAATCTCTTCAATAAGACACATCGTTCCAATACCGAAATCATCATGTTGGATGGTCTGACGTGTGTCTACAAGAGTAATGTGGACTTATTCTTCTATGTAATGGGTAATGCATATGAAAATGAACTGATCCTATTGTCGGTGCTCAATTGCCTGTATGACTCCATCAGCTTGATACTGAAGAAGAATGTTGAGAAACGTTTGGTATTGGATAATTTGGAAATCATTATGTTGGCATTTGATGAAATCTGTGATGGAGGGTAAGTGAAACGATAAAAAACAGCAGGGAAGTGTATCATATGTTTGGTATGTTGTGAAATTCATAACTGAATGTGAGAACATATACCATTGTGTGAGATTGTCATTTCACATATGTAGATAAGGCAATTAAACATGCATCGTATGTAAGATGTTACATTTTGTGTCAATTCTTAACCGAGGATTGTAAAAAGACATACTTTTTCTTGCATCATTAAATTACGGTGTCTAATTAGCCACTCTAATTTTCTTGTAGTCTTAATGGAATGTTGAATTTAATAAGCAATATACTTGATTTTCGTGGGAATATGTCCATCCCACTGCAATGTAATTCAATTACAGTTTCTTGCTGCCAATATCTCTAGAATTTTGGACTTGCCACTTAGGTTTACTTATGGAAAATTTATCAAAATGATCTGCGGCCTAAATTTTATATATACTCAGAGTAAACTTTTGTGACTGTTATTGACGAAAATAATTCACGCCCGGGTTTTATAAGCAAAATTTTTAGATTCAGGTTTAGCTTAAAAAAAATTTAGGCTCATATTTCGTGGTATATCCTAGACCTATTTGTTGAAGGAATCGTTCAGTTTGCCCCAATAAAATAAATTATCAATAGTTGTACTGAGTTATTGAGATTTCATCGGGCCGTTCCAGAGCGTTGTCGAAGTTTCTTCTGCTCGTTAAACGGCATTTACATTCTAACTTTTTAACCCAATTCATGAGGATTTATCTAAGGTATATGCATTGGCACAAAGTGTTTTATCGACAAATAGAAGGGTACACAATATTGGAGAAACATTCTGCACGTTGTCAGCAATCCATGCCCAATATGAATTGAGACGACTGAATCATCCTTAACGTAGTGAATTAAAAAGTACAATTAGAAAAGCCATAGTCCAGTCGGTGGTAATAGTATGTACTAGCTATGGATTATACAAAATTCTGTCTTGAGAATATAACTCAGATAAACCACATAGAATCAGAAGGTGAGGTACCGAAGTTATGGGCCAACTGAGATCAGGATCGGACTCGAATTGATTACATCTGCCCTGCATGTGTAATGGTCTACATGATACGCTACACTTCCCCTTCATTACGGATTCAACATGCAGGGGTCTTCTATTTTTATACCCTCCACCTTAAGGTGGAAATTTGGTACTCTGCTTGCAACACCTTCTCCCTCACCTTAACGTACATAATCTTGATCAGAATAAAATTCTATGTCGGTATATGTGTGTCCGTCTGTCTGTTGAAATCACCAAAGAGATCGCAATATTTGAGATATACCTTTTGGAATTTTGCACTGGTATTGCTATTACTTCTGGAATAGTTGGTATTGCAAATGGGATACGTCGGTCCATTTTTTTTTTTTTTTTTTTTGGTATAGGGCCATATAAAGTTACACCAAAATATTCAGTGTTATTGGGATTTTTGACACGTTTTTTCAACCGAATTGAATATAATTTGCTACAGTTGGTTCTGATTGGGTATCAAATCTTAATGCCGAAAATGATCAATATTGGTCCACTCTTTACTGTACCCATTTAACGGTACCTCCGATATTCGTTATTTTGGATGTTTTAGGCACGTTTTTCAACCAAATCAACTATGATTTGGTATTTTGCATCAACGTTGGATATCCGATCTGCCTACGAAAAATTATCAATATTTACATATGTTTCGGAGTAGCTATCATATAATGGCACACTCAATATTCGATATTTTGTGGTTTCGGGGACACTTGTTTAAATTATTGGTTGTAATTTGTTATTTTGAATTGTGGTATGGTATTAAATCTTCGTACTAAAATGTAGCAATATTGGTCCACATTTTAGGAAGCCTTCATATAACGCTACCCCCTTAAGATCGATATTTTGGGGAGTTTGAGCACGTTTTTCATCCAATTCGGTAGCAATTTGATATTTTAGATTCTGATTGATTAAAAGATTTGCCTACCAAAAGTTATGTACAATGAACCATGTTTCCGGGCATCCCCCATATAACGGTAACCCGATTATTCGGTATTTTGTGGATTTTGAGTAAGTTTGTAAGCAAATTGGATCATATTTCGTCTTTTTATGTTCCCATGGGGAGTCAAATATTTTATAGCCTATGTTCCGTGTAGCCCCCCATATAGTAATACATCAATTATTCGGCATTTTGGGAGGTTTGTGCATGTTTTCCGATAGAACGGAAAGAACCATTCCATCCCATTGTCGCTTTCCAACCGATGTTGCTGTAATTTGGTATAAAGTGTTGTGGAAGGCTATCTATAGGTCTAAATTTGTATATAATAAATTAAAAAGTCCTGTTTATGTTTTACATGTGTCTGTATGTGTCTGTAATTTGGAACACGATTTTTTTCGCATGAACAACCTGCAATAACATAATACGATGACAAAATCTCCATTAAGGAATTTTGAATGCACATCACGTGTTGGAGGACCCGACCGAACTTTACGACCTTTTTTACTTGTTTTAAATCTGGAGTTTGAAACAGAACCAGACTAATTAAAAACCAGTAAGGAAAGTAGTAAAGTCGGACGGGCCTACTATATGATACCCTTCACCACTTTGAATATATTCAACAGATGAATCCTAACAGACGTCGCATTTTTAAAGGACCAGTAAAATGAAATTGGAACCATAAACACGTCATTCTGCAACCGATACTAAACTGTTCATTTGGTCAGATATAGAAGCTATATCTAAATCTGAACCGATTTCAGGAAACTTAACACACATCTAGACCTAATTCGTTACGCTGTGCCAAATTTAGTGCAAACCGAAAGATATTAAGGGACCTTGGTGCACCATTTACATTAAATCGTACGAAAATATAGATGGGAGCTATATCTAAATCCGAACCGATTTTCAGGAAACTTAACACACATCATTCTAGATATAATTTGTTACGCTGTGCCAAATTTCGTGCTTAAATCGACTCAAAAAGTGATTCTATGCATATTCTCAAAATGAACCATGTGTCTATCACGTTTCCTTTTGCCTGTTACAAACATTTGAACAAAGACATAATACCCTGTACCACAGTGTGGTGAAGGGTATAAAAAGAATTTGGTTCAAGAACCTCAAAATACCGAAAATTGGGGGTACCCTTATATGGGGGCTACCAGAAAAATTGACCAATATGTATAATTTATAGTGGAGAGACTTGCTACCTAATAACTCGACGTACTAAATTACAATCAATTCGGTCGAAAAATACGATCAGAACCCACGATCAGGACAACCAGAAAAACTGGACCTATATTTATAATTTTTAGTGGAGTAATTTGTACCCAATAAGAACCCAATGTAGAAAATTTCAGAGAATTCAGTTATACAACGACAACAAAAGTGCATCCTGTATTGGAGACAATGTGGTATATACACCGCAGTATCGACAACACCTTGTACTCCTGTGAATCTCAAATTAGCCGAAACTTCATATAGTCCTACCAAAAATTTTCTAATAAGGGACTGCAATCAAGCTGTTAAATTCCAGTGCCACTTAATTATACATCTGGAAATGTCTGCTGGGAAATTAGGTTTGTTTCTGATTATAGCAAATGTATGCGTTTTTCTCATCTGAAATAATTGAATATGCTTGACTTGCTGATGTATAATAACCATCTTCGCAATCAATTATCAGTTGATTTTACATGTCCTGGTATATTAAATATTTTATAATTTTATTCCTTTTCCTCGAATTAAATTTCTTATCAATATATAACATATCTTATTACCTTACATAAAAACTGTATATTAAATTATTTTTACTTTTTCTTCTGCAGAATAATTTTAGATGCTGATCCATCATCTGTTGTGAAACGTGTCGATTTACGTAACGATGACATTCCCATTGCCGAACAAACAGTGGCCCAGGTAACTAACGTCTTGAATGGACTATTTTGGTAGAATAACTGGAAAAGTCTAAACACAAACATTATTTCACATAATTTATGTACAGTGCAAGATTATACAATAACATTTATTTACCTTGATCATTTCATCATTAAAGATGTTAATTTTCTTTTTGTAAGAAATAATTTTTTATTTTTTAATCCAAACAAAATATAATTTCTAGCTCTTTGGCAAGTAGTAGTATTGTTGTAATGGAAAGTATTATTATTTAATAAATATATATTTTACTTTGTTTTATTTTATTTTTTGTTTTCCATTCATGTATTATTATTTGCTTAGTTAATAAATTGACAAAAAAGAGGCGTGTATATATATATTACATTTTATTTAATTATAAATTGCATATTTACTAATACTGAAAACCTGGTTTTGAAGCGGATATTAAGTCACAAATATAAATTGCATTATTTAGTTGTAAATAAGAACAAAATTAATGATTTGTTGTTAATTTATTCCTTTGGAGTTTTGTGTTTTTTAATATTAATATTTTCCTTTTTAATATCCGCCCTTACCTAAAATTTACTAACACCACCCTTCCAATTTCTGGGTTATATAGTTATAAACAATTTGAATAACATTTGCTAACATCTTGTACATCTTTAAATATTTCCAGGTATTTCAGTCAGCTCGTGAACAGTTAAAATGGTCCATACTAAAGTAAAGATAACAACATTTAATCACAGCCTTGCAAACCATAATTCTACAGTTTCGTATTTAAGTTCCAAAAACAAACTATGTGTATTTTTTCTTCTTCTTTTGTTTTTTATGTGATCCAACTCAGTTGATTTGGCTCACCCTAAATGACATCAATCAATACATTCGATTTTTTTACAAAAGCAAATAATAAAAAATAAACATAAACTCCATATAAAAATATTCTTAATTTGTAATATTAAAGTAAATATGTATGTATAGATTATAGCTATTAACTTTTAATAAAAACCAAGAGAAATGCCAAAATTCTCAAATGTATAAATGATAAGTTTATTTGTTGTTGTTTTTTTCTTTTTTTTTTGTTTTTACTATGTTGTGTATTCGCAACGGTATATGTATGTGGAATGCATGATTATATATTACTAAACAAAAACTATATATTTTTGACGAGGTTGTGACATATACAATGTTAGGATGTAGATAGAATAATTACTCCACTTGAATTCCTTGTGGCCCATCCTGAAAATATATTACGTTAAAAATGGAAAATGATCACTAAGAGTCCGATAGTGTATATATGGAAAATACTATAGAACGGATAAACGGATATCGTCATGCTAAGATGAGATTGTTTTCAGATATAACCATTAAATACTTTTAGACAACGTAGGTGTTTCGTCTATTCTGCAATGAAATAAAAACTAATGGTCTTTTTCTCTAGGTCGATCGAAATTCTATCCGAACGTCTTATAGTCGCTCGGCTCAGATTAGGTTTACGTAATAAAAAACTTATCGTTCGAAAAAGTCTAGATTTGAAAAAATTACAAATTTGAACATATATTTTTTACAACTAGTTTGGTGGTGTGGCTTTGGGAAACACAAATTGAATCTGTAAGACTATATCCTACAGCCTCTTATAAGTCGCCGACTTTTGATAGAGGGCAAACATTAAAGGCAGCAGTACTAGTTAATATTATTATGCCATTTGGAAGGCAGTGCCTCTCAACTGGATAGCATTTCCTGGGATAGAAGAAACTTCATCTCGGAATTAAATGAATTTGAAATAAATGTATCAATTTTACATGAAATCGCCAACTACAGTATTTTTCGGTTAATTGAACCTACGGTTAATTGGTTTTCATATATTTCATATATTTTTCATATATTTTTGCCCCACATGGTGGGGCAAAAAATATTTCATAGGAAAATACATGTAAATTTTCTCGGATAATTAAACCCTGTTAATTGATTTTCCCGCTTAATTGGTTTAAAATTCATGTCAGCAAAAATAAATTCCCTTTTACTTTTCACCGGTTAATTGCTTTATAATAATTGAAAAATAATCTGTAATTTTTTTGCATACATATTTGACATAATTTGTGAAAAAGACTAGGTTGGACCCTCTACTAATTCAAAACATATGTTTATTGCTAACGAAAAACTGCGAAAAAGCGTAATTTGTATTTGACATTGAAGTTCAAATTATACGTGATTACTGTAATTGAACAAACTATTCAATTAAGCGGGTTCGGATAATTGGTTCCTCGGTTAATTGAACTAAAATTTGTGCAAATTTTGATGTGCAATTAACCGAAAAATACTGTATATAATTTAATTATCCTTTGCACCAGTCAAACATGCTGTATCTTGACAAGTTTGGCCTACCTCACAGTGGCTGGGCCACAGGTAGAATTACGCCCACCAGCACCGAAGTGCTGTACCAAGAGCATGCAGAAGGCACACTCTCCCCCTTGGTGAGTGGCGAAACCACAACCCCCACTGTCAGGCTGGATCCACATGTCCAGGGGCACGTGGCACCCGAGGTACGGTTAACCTCCGACCAGGCTCGAGACCAAAGCCTATCCCAGTTTGACGCAAGTCCGGGCTGGTATACCAACACAAAAATAAACGCAGCAGCAAAAACCGCAAGTAGCAAGCAAAAGCAAGCACACATACACTCAACACGAACAATTAACATGCTGTCCTCACGGACTGCACAAAGGGCCCAAAGGACCGCGGCAAAGGACACCACAACACAAACACTAAGCGAAACTGCCCTCACGGCCAGCCTTCACGACATCCACAAGAGGTGCGAACCTCGTGAAACAGGAAGACCGCGAACCACCCACGATGCAAAACATCAGCAGTCAGCACGCTATCCGCTAACAACCACACCTTTACTAAGTGCTGTCCTTCTCCTAAATGCTTCACGAGCAAAACTACTTAAACAACTAAAGGTCCGAACGTCTTCAAAAGCCCTACTGAAATCCCATTCCTCCACTCCATTCGATGTACCCATATTTGCTAAATCTCTAATCTCAACATAGTAATAGCATTCCGTCAGTATATGCTTCCAATCCTCGGTCATCCTGCACCCACATAAATCCGTCTAGCACATGCCTCTTTTATACAGAGGAGCATGAGGTTCCATGTGCATGGACCACAAATGGAACCCTGTGGGCAATCACGCTGGACCTTCCTCCAGACCGAAGCACTGGCTCCCACAACACAAGCCTTCCTTTCTCGGAAATAACTCACCCAAAGAGCAATCTATATACACCCGACCTCTAACAACCTTGTGAGCACGCTATTCCATAAAAGGAAGCCAAATGCGCCTTTGAAATCCATAAATATATTAAGTACATATTTGGAATTTGACCTGCTCAGGCTATCTTGCACATGCCGCCACGCATCCACAGTACCTCTACACTCGGTAAAGCATTCCCTAAGCCGTGCCATAATCCTTTCCAGTACTTTTCCAAGAACTGGAAGAAGACTTATGCCCCGATACGAGCGAGGATCACCCCTCACCCGATCAGGCGACTTAAGTAACACCACAACTCGGGCACACTTCCAAGTACGCGGGAACATGCAGGTGGATGTCGTCGTTGATCGTTATAGATTTGTTCTTCGTATTTCACATTTCTTATAATATTCTTTTTAATTATTTTACTGTATCGCCGTTAAGAATACTTCTAAAAATAGTGGTATATCTTTTCAACAAAAACCATTACTGTACGTCTATAAAAATATATAGTTATAAAATATTTATAGCGCATTATATTCACTGCCAACATCAGATGTAAAATAAAATAAACATTTATTTTTATTACATAGTTTTATAGCCACATAAGTGCATTTAAAGCAAAAGTGTGTAAGGTACTGTAAAGAGTTGATTTACCACTTTATACCCTTTGATATATGTCTAACAAAGGTATATAATTTGATGGGTGCAAAAAGTAAAATTTTAAAATATAAATCACGTGCATCTTTCTGTTATCAAACCAGACGAAATAAACCACAGGTCAATATTATGGTGCTTGGGTTTGAAGTTCTGGTCGAGGGGCATATAGATTTTTTTCGGTGAATTTTACTTAATCCCGTGTAGACGTTGTTTTATTTCCCAATACAGTTCGTACCAAATAAAACGCGGGTTCTTTCTGATTACGATTATTACAATGATTTTATTGACACAACTTTACTTTGCACGTTACTTGACTGTTTCAATTCGCGATCTGATTCACAACTGACTAACTGCCTTGCCATTTCCTCTATTTATATGTCGCTACAGAAGTTTCTAGGCGATCATCAATGATGACGTTTAACAAGAATTGTACGTCAACAACAAAATAGAAAATGAAAGAGGAAATGGAAGGATGTAGAAAAATCTATACAGTAGTTGTTGTTGTGAAGTTATTCGAATAAACTGCGTAGTAGAAATTTACGTTACAATTCAAATTCTTAAATTAACGGAATTCATCTAAATTAACTTAAATCTAAAGTTATATTCGTAACATTGCCCCCGCTTAAGCCTGTTCGTCCCGAATAGGCACAGTTCCCGTTCCGTAGGGGGCCAGCCGCTCCAAATGTACAACTTTCATCTTCGACCTGGGACTGTCGCTCCTCTGGATGCGATAAACATCATTTATTTTCGTGACAATCTTGTAAGGTCCTTCCCAGTGCGTTTGCAATTTGGGGCATAGTCCTTTTTTTCGTTGTGGATTGAACAATAGCACCAGTTTCCCTTCTTGAAACCCATCAGTATTTCCCGCTCGATCGTACCTTGCCTTCATGCGGTTGCTAACCATTTTTATTCGATGGCGAACTGCATCGTGGACTTTACTAAAAGAGTTTTGACTGTCTTCATCTTGGTTCACACCGTCGTTTGGGGTAGCACCGAATATCAAATCGCCAGGTAGCTTTAATTCATTTCCGAACAGAACTTTGGCTGGGGTCCGGGATGTGGAATCATGAATGGCCGATCTATAAGCCAGTAAAAACTTTGGAATATGCTCATCCCAGTCTCGTTGGCCACTGTCCACCACTTTCCGTAGGTGTTCTTCTAGGGTGCGATTGAATCTTTCCACCATGCCATCTGATTGCGGATGTAGGGGCGTCGTTCTGGTTTTCTTGATTCCGTAGGAGTCACACATTTCCTTGAAGATCGCTGATTCAAAATTTCTACCTTTATCGGAATGAACCTCAGATGGAACACCATAGCGACAAATCCAATTTTTGCTGAACACATCCACAATTGTCCTGGCTTCTTGATTTGGGATAGCATAAACCTCTGGCCATTTGCTGAAGTAATCCATGACCACTAAGACATACCGGTTCCCAGAGTCGCTTGTTGGGAACGGTCCAGCTACATCCATTGCGATTCTTTCAAAAGGGGCTCCTGAATTATACTGCTGCATGTAGCCTCGACTCTTCCGTCTTGGACCTTTAGCTCTTATGCACCTTTCACAATTGGCGATAAAGTCGGCAATGGATTTTTGACAGCCGACCCAGTAGAATCTCTGCTTTACCTTTTCAGCGGTTTTTGCTATGCCAAGATGTCCTCCACTTGGCCCATCGTGAAACTCCGACAAGACATCTCTTATTTTGGAGTCTGGGACGACGATCAAGTTCCGGTGAGATTTACCGTCCTCACTTTCCCATTTGCGATATAAACAACCATCTATTATAAGTATACTGTCCCACTGGGCCCAATAGGATTTTAAGAGAGGGCTTTCGGAGGTAATTTCTTTGCGACTAGGTCGCTTGCCCGTTTCTATGGCCGAAATTATTT